TTATAATATATAAAACTAAAATTGCGGAATATAGTGATGATAATACAAATTTGACAAAATCGTGCTCCTCGTGGAAACAACTTATTACACGTCACAATCTTCAATCATACTTTCCCTTCGTCAATTATTTTATGACGCAGTCAGTCTGAACTCACTTTCGCGCCAATGCTACCAAGAGTTCGTTTCAAACCCATACGACGCAGAACAAACTCTTCCATTTTCATCCACCAATCGAAATACTCAACAAACCCGCTTCTAGAAGATCGAAAGACCCAATCCCCATTGCAAGAACTCGACTTTCACTGCTATCTACGAGATATATGCTCGCGAGAATGCAAGAAAATTCAGTCCCGTCAAGTGATCGACCAAATGCCCGAAAGACTCAAGCTTTCTCTAAAAACTGCCAAAGCAGTCCACTCCCAGAGCTTTAAAATTGGCCTTTCAGCACATTGCAACTTGGAGAACTCCATATTAGACTTATATGCGAAATGCGGGAACGTGGGTTACGCGGAAAAAGTATTCTTACACCTCCAGGTAAGGGATGAATCAGCTTGGAATTCAATTATGAATATGAATTCACGTAAAGGGTCATTTAAAGATGTAGTGGATTATTTTCTCTCTATGCGGTGTTCTGGGGTGATAGGCGATCAGTTCAGTTTTGCGATGGTTTTGTCAGCTTGTGCTAAGCTGATGAATTTAGAGCTTGGGGAGCAATTGCATTGTGTTGTTATGAAAATGGGCCTTGAAGCTGGTAATTATTGCCAGGGTGCATTGATTGATATGTATGTGAAATGTGGTTGTCTGGAGTTTGCCACGAGAATATTTGATGGAGCTGTGAACCCAGATAGAGTTTCTTGGACTGCAATGATTTCTGGCTTCTCTCAAGCTGGTTTGACCACAAAGGCAATCGAGATATTCGAGAAGATGCAGGAGTTTGGACATATTCCGGACAATGTAGTATCTGTAACCATATTAAGCGCTTGCGTAGGGCAAGGCAGGCTTGAGGATGCTTGCCGCCTGTTTTCCCAAATGCCTGAACCGAGTAGTATTGCATGGAATGTAATGATTTCTGGACACGTGAAAGGTGGCTTTGAGGCAAAAGCTATTGAATTTTTCAAGAATATGGTCAAATCTGGGATTGAACCAACACGTTCCACACTAGGAAGTGTGTTTTGTGCGATTGCAGCTGTGGCCAATCATAAGTACGGTCTGCAGGTCCATTCTTGGGCCATTAAGAAAGGGCTCGACACTAATGTGTATGCTGGGAGCTCTTTACTGAACATGTATGCCAAATGTCAGAGGATGGAGGCTGCAAAAGCAGTATTTGATGGATTAGAAGAAAAAAATGATGTTTTGTGGAATGCATTGCTCGGAGGTTACGCTCAGAACGGGCACGCTCGTGAGGTTTTGGAATTATTTGTGAATATGAAGGTCATGGGATTTCAACCTGACGAATATACTTATACCAGTGTACTCAGCGCTTGTGCTTGCTTACAGAATATTGATATCGGCCGACAGGTACACACGATTATAATCAAGAATGAGATTGGTGCAAACTTGTTTGTGCAAAATGCATTAGTCGACATGTATGCCAAATGTGGGGCTTTATTCAACGCGAGGAAACTATTCGAGCGAATAAGAAATCGGGATAATGTGTCTTGGAATGCTATCATTGTTGGTTACGTGCAGGAAGATGACGAAAAAGAAGCTTTCTTTATGTTCCGCAGAATGATGATCGAGGGTAATATTGCACCTGATGAGGTATCCTTAGCCAGCATAGTCGGTGCTACAGCAAGTTTGCAAGATCTTTGTAAAGGTAGGCAAGTGCACTGTTTTCTGGTCAAATACGGCCTCGAGAATGGCCGTTATGCTGGAAGCTCACTCATTGACATGTACTGCAAGTGCGGAGTGGTTGAAGATGCAACTCTGGTTTTCTCTCACTTGCCTGAAAAAAGTGTAGTCGGGATGAATGCTTTGATTTCTGGTCATGCTCAGTCGAGTCTACATGCGGCAGTAAATATATTTAAGAATATGAGTTGTTACGGGCTGAAACCTTCGGAAGTCACTTTTGCCACCCTTCTGGAGTCGTGTTCTGGAGAGCCCAATCTAAATTTCGGAAAGCAGATACACTGTTCTATTATAAAACTCGGCCTTTCCTATAGTGACGAGTTTTTAGCAGTCTCTCTCTTGGGCATGTACATGAGCGCTCACAGAAATAACGATGCAATTAATCTATTTTCGGAGCTCCGTCATCCGAAAAGCACCGTACTATGGACAGTCTTGATATCTGGAAATGCTCAAAACGACTGTGGTGAAGAGGCTTTACTTTGGTACCAAGAAATGCGTGCCCACAATGCCCTTCCCGACCAAGCCACATTCGCCAGCGTCCTTAGAGCGTGCTCGATTTTAGCATCTTTGCAAGACGGCAGTAAAATCCACTCTTTGGTGTTCCGTATTGGTTATGACAAAGACGAGTTGACTGGAAGCGCCCTTCTTGATATGTACGCCAAATGTGGGGATATGGAAAGCTCGTCACAAGTCTTTAATGAGATGATTAGCCGGAAAGACGTTATTTCTTGGAACTCGATGATTGTTGGGTACGCCAAAAACGGGTATGCCGAGAGTGCTCTAGAAATCTTCGATGAGATGAGGCGGTTAAATGTGAAGCCTGATGAGGTCACTTTTCTCGGAGTTCTTACTGCATGCAGTCATGCGGGAAAAGTATCTGAAGGTCGAGTATTTTACGAGGAAATGATTGTTCGTTATGGTATTAAGCCAAGAGTGGACCACTGTGCATGCATGGTGGATCTCTTTGGGCGCTGGGGATTTCTTGGGGAGGCGGAGAGTTTTATTAACAATATGGGCTTTGAGCCCGATTCCATGATATGGGCCACGTACCTTAGCTCGTGCAGATTGCATGGGGATGATGTGAGAGGGAGACATGCGGCCGAAAAGCTAATTGAGTTGGATCCTCAGAATTCTTCTCCTTATGTGTTGCTTTCGAGTATACATGCGGCTTCGGGCAACTGGGATGGTGTTAATCGTGTGAGGGAAAAGATGATAGAGAAGGGAGTTAAGAAGTTTGCCGGAAGTAGTAAGATTTCAAGGATGTAGTTGGACAATGTTTTGGGAAAAAAAGACAGATTTTTTTTCTTTTCTTTTTCAAGTGATGAAACCCATCATAAGGCGAGTGAACGTTGGTTGAGAAGCCAAACATCAGTGATTTTGCGGAAGACTTGAAAAGAGAGATAATTTTTGTTTTCTCTTTCAAGTGATAAAACCCATCATAAGATGAGGGTCTGACTATACTGGAATGTTGGTTAAGAAGCCGAACCTCAGGGAGATGGTGAGTTTCCGGAAGACCTTAAAAGATCATCAAATCATAATAATTCCTTAGTGTGTGAGCTTAAAGCTGCTAAAGAAAACATGCTTTGGTCAGTGAGAGGAGAAAAAAAGAAAGTTGGTGGCTCCAGATGGAATTACCAGAACACTCGGAATAAAGAATGTTAGCAGATCGGGTCTGAAAGTCGACATTGTTCAGAGAAGGTAATGTTGGATCTTGAATGGTACTTCCATATTTTCTAAAGCTGTTGGAAGTAGGAGTGACATATGACAATGTCCTTGAAGTGCTTCTCAACAAGCATGCTATAAAATAGCAAGTGGATTGTTTAAGACCTTATGCTTAGGAACTTCGTTCAACATCTTGTCCCGACTCTGACTCTGACTCTGGAGCATTTGGTTAGCTACATCTGCCTGTGCTGTGTGAGTTTACAGTTATGTGAGTTATGTTCTTGAATGAGTGACCAGATGTTAGATTATCTGTATTTGACTGTGATAGATTTTGATGAAACCACTCTATGAAACTGAACAATTACACATGATTAGCTCTGGGTTATGTTTGAGTGCCATGAGACCTTAATATTTAGTTCTTGCTCAAATTTGTTAACTTTCGATTTTTCTGCTCGATAGAATTTGAAAATGAGCACCATAAGGTACATTCCGCTCGATTGTTCTTTTCCTGTCGTGAGTTTGGCTTCTCATGCATAATCATTCCAAACGACTTTGCCTTCTTGCTGACAAGAAATCTAGAACACGGTCAACCTTATTTGATTGCCATGAACAACCCACATTGCTATTTGACACTTGCCCTTTTTATTTAGGCTAGTTGATTTTCGCATACTATCCATCTCTTTGTAACTAAAAGTGGAATTTGTTATGTGTAAGTGTAGTCTGATAGATGATGTGGTCCGTTATGCAGGTTCTCTTCCACATGTACGCCTTGAATCTTCTCAAGAATCAGTGATAAGAAGCACAGGATATCACCACTCTGAAGAAGTAAATAATAATAACCAGTTTTATATTCCGAGCTTTATCTAGAAAAGTCATTAGGAGGCAAGAATAAATTGTTATTACATTGAACTTAGAGCTGTTAAACGAATTGAATGGCACATGAGATTGGTTTGATTTGTTAAGACTCCAGTTCAGTTATGATAAATAAGTCAAACTCGAGCTCATCTAACATACTTAGCTCTGAATGCTCATTAGGCTCGAGAAATAAGAGTTTTATGCAATTTTTTATTGTTGATAAATGAGCTGAAGGTCGAGCTATTATCGGCTGGCTTAGACTTTCGTACAGAATTATTTATTAATTAAGTGAACCCTTAATTCAATGCTGGCTCATGTCATGATTGGGACACCTGCCCTTTGGTAAAACCGTCCTTCAAATATGAATATTCAAGCCTCAATGATTATCAAACTCAAATTAATTTATTTGTTAAAATACGCCACCACTAATTTAGTCAGAGCTCCTACCATAAATGGATGTGACGATAATATTAAGCTAATCTATATATATATAATTGCTAGCTAAGTAATAAATTTTACCTAATAAATAAAACCTAATAAATTTTATCTATGTGGCAAATCATTAATAAAACCTAGAACCTAATAAATTTTATTTATGTGGCATTAATACACCAAATCTCATTAATAAGAAAATATTTCATTATATTTTTTGGGTTAATTAAGACAAAAACTATTATATTTTATGTTAATTGATTAATAATTATATTTTTTATTGAATAATATAATAGTTAATATTAAAATTAGTAATTATATTTTATACTAAATAATATATGAAAGTTACATAAAATTATATTTTACACTAAAATCAATATTTTTTTATATGATGAAGATGTTGTTTATTAATAAATTAATTTTTTTTATGTCATAGTAAAATTTCTTAAAATCACATAAGCAATTGTTATAATAAATGTAATATTTTTCAACTAATTAATTGGTCATAATCACTCAAAATTATAAAAAATATATATTTATTACATTTTATGCAATCAATATAGTGATTCGTATACAATCAAATCGTGTGTACTATTTATTTTAACCAATGATCAAATTTTAAAATATAATACTATTATATAATTTATAATTTTAATATTATATACATAAATATAACTTATAATACTATATGTTTGAAATATAATACAATTATATAACTTATAATTTTTATATTATATACATAAATATAACTTATAATATTTAATTTTATTTACATCTGTACAAATGCACAGAGTCGAATACTAGGTTATTTTCAAACCAGAGGTTGCATAAGCATCCATGCAATAATCGTAGAATCATCACAACAAATAAAAGGTTGATATATGAATAAATTATTCAAAAGTTTTTCTTATAAATGGAAAATAAAAGTTGTCACTATTCATAAACCAGGCTGGGCTTGAGGTAATATGGGTGCATGTGACAATCCCTTATATATGAGTTGTCGTAGCATTGAAGATTGTGATTTACATGACAAATTGGCACCATAGACAAAAGACATGACATCAAAGCTTAGGTGTAAGGATTAGAATGGCTACGATTTGGCCCACAAAACAAAATAAGATTTAAAATCAATTGCAACAAGTTATTCCGTTGATTAATCATGAATGAGTTTGAAATATATGTTGAATGAAATGTAATTTTCATACGGTGATACATTATTTTTTAATTTATGTTGTTTACTGAAGTATCATATTGAAATATATTTGTCCAATGCTTTAGTTTGTTCAAATTGGCTCCTCCCATTAATAGAATTTAGAGAAAATCAATTGATGTGTTTTCTGGTACAAAATTGCTGTGTTAATACAATGAAAATGAAAAATGAAAAAGTTCATGTGTTCATTAGATTCCTATTTAACAATGTGATGATATCTTTTTTTCCTCCACAGATAAATTCCGTTCTCCAAAAAATTCGACAGTATTAGGCCCACTTTTTCCATTTTAACTGAAACTGGGATTGTCCTAGCCGTTGGGCTTGGTCACATTCAGGACTGTCAATACTCACTCCTAACGGCCAAATTTAACGGCTAGTTTTCTTTATATCTGTTTGTTAATAATGAAAGGCCACCCTATCTCCCATTAGCATTTTAAAGTATTTTATCTTTCTAAATATATAATAATTTTTAATTTAATTTTGGTTGATTTTATTTTTTATTATATTTTTGTGATCTACAATAAAAAAGTATAAAATAAAGTATAAAACATTATATAGAAATCAAATGAGAAGTTCATATTTGGTGGTTGCTTATCCATATAAATTGTTTGATCCTGACCGTAGATTTGCACAGTGTCTTCCTTTTTCTGCTTAATAAGAAACTAACAAAAGAAAAAAAAAAAATTAAGTTTGGTTAAGTAGTAAAAGATCTCTTTAACTTAATGAAAAACAGTTGTTCGCCTTGATTTGAACATAATTGGAAAAATAAAGTAACTAAATTATATTTGAGAAGTTTCCAGACTAGATTATTTCTCGACAAAATTGGAAAAATAAAGTAAAGTTGGACTAAATATTAATGTTATTGTTTAAAAAATACACTTCTACACACACCAAAAGTCATATCCATTGAAATTAATTATATTTAAATTGATTCACTAAATAATTTCAATTCGGAAAATTATTTCAGAGAGTGCTATCTTTTTCAAAATATATCTTCTGGACCATAACTAGGATTTCCATGGCTGCAATCTTCATATGGAATGAAAATTTGAAGTGGGAAAATAACTTAAAATAAGACTATAAAGAGCTTTTAGAAACGTATAGTTGTAAACAAATTGAGCATCTAGTAAGTTCAACTCAATTTAGTTGGATGTGTTTGATAATTTAGTTGAGCTTGAGCTTCTTTGAACTCATTTATTTAAGTTTGTGAGAATAAGAGTTTTACATACTTCTCTAAATTTTTACCGTAACTTAGTTAATTAAGGTTCTTCGATAAACGAGATGAACTGTTTAGTCAATGAGATGAGCTCGGTTCGATTCGATAAAGCTCAAGTCCGGATTTGAGTATCAAAAGCTCGAGCTCGATTCAACTTGGTTCGGCTAATTTACACCTATAACTATAGCCGATGGTTTTCGAATGGTATATGAATATCAAGAAGTGACTTAAGGAAAGATTAAGACAAAATTGTTGCGTAAACTACTCACAATTAACTGCAAAAGCCTTCAAGATCAACGATTTTTAACTTGTATATAATGATACTTTAAATATACAAATCTTCGACGGACAATAATAATGTTTGGAACTCTCAAGACACGATGAAAAATTAAAGAACGCAACATGCTATATATAAATTTTGAAAAAACGTAATGCAAAAGCTTTTTATTTGCAAGTGTATTGAATAATTCATGCATGTCAGTATTTATAAGTATAAGAAAATACCTCCAACAGATTTAAGTGTCAAAGGAAACCTTTTGGGAGGTGTTCGAACGAGAACGAGCGCACCCGAAAGCCAAAAGACAACTTATGGACAACAAGGAGGGCACGATCTATAGTGGCTGCGATAAGTGTCATATCCAACAGTTGAAATTTGGTCGTGGGCAAAGACGTAGCCAGCTAGGAGTTCGTGTGCCGTGATTCTGCACGCACTCATCTGAGCTCCAAATTGTGCCTATTTTTTTCTTCTCATCCCCAATGAACCTGTTAGAGCATCTACAATGCTTTGGGTTCAACCACAAAAAATTGTATGCCACCTAAGAAATAAACATAGTCTAAAAAAATATATTTTCCAATGCAAACAAAAGTATACTGGGTCATGCTGATGTGGCAGCCAAATAAAGAGACCCAGTCTACCCTTAGGTCTATTTTAGACCCAAGTAGAGACATAGTCTCTTTGCATTGGAGTGTATTTTATCAATTTTACATAGTTTTATCCATGTCATTCAAGACTTGGGTTTATTTACATGCCACATAGGCAAGACTAGACCCAATACGTTGTAGATGCTTCTAGCATGCTTAGTGCATGATTATAACTCGTTTGGTTTGTTCAAACATTCGTACAAAACTAAACATTTATGAATCCAACAATTTTTGAGTTACTTGAACTTTTTTTTTTCTCAAATTTATATTTTTCCACATGTACAACTTAACGTTAATTTTTCATTCACTTGAAAATGGTTAGGAAATTTTTTTAAATATTATATTTAAAAGAAAAAAAAAACTTTAGGTACAAAACAATTTTTTGTTAATACCAAAAACATTCAAGAGCTGCTTATCTAATATTGTAACTACAAAAGCATCCAGGAGCTTTTGAAAATTTTTGGCTCAATTTTGCTGAGCTGCCAAGAATATTCCAACTTGAGGAAGATTAGTTGAAATCAAATGGCTCCAATCATCTGATCAAAATTCAAATAACCTTTTGACACCGTAGCTAGAACTAGAAGATAAGAACAAACTCCAAAATACAAAACAAGATGAATATAAAAATAAAAAACCTGTCAACATCCCTCTGTATTTTCCAGAACACTCCCCACTCTCTTCTCCGGTCTGTCATTAGACTCATTACTCCAATCTCACTCATATTAATCATCAAACAAATAAAAAACAAATCATTAAAAGTAAGGATTAGCTTAAATAATCCCATTAGCCCAATAATTATAGCAGCACCTAATGATAGACTTTTTAATATTTTAGGCTAAGCAAAATGCGAAAAACCCGCTATAAATGACAACCCATTCCCTATCCATTCAACAGAAAATAAAACCAATCAAATGCTTGATCAGAGCAAACGAGAAAAAGAAAAAAAGGAATCTTTAGAATAAAAACTAGAACTTTAGAAAAATTTCCATGGCTGAGAACAAGGAGGAAGATGTTAGGCTCGGTGCCAACCAGTTCACTGAAAAGCAGCCGCTGGGCACGGCCGCTCAGACAGACAAGGACTACAAGGAGCCACCGCCGGCGCCGCTTTTCGAGCCCGGCGAGCTGAAATCATGGTCCTTTTACCGGGCCGGGATAGCCGAGTTCATGGCCACTTTCTTGTTTCTGTATATTACGATATTGACAGTGATGGGTGTTGGGAGGTCGCCTAATAGGTGTGCCTCTGTGGGGATTCAGGGTATTGCTTGGGCCTTTGGTGGTATGATCTTTGCACTTGTCTACTGCACTGCTGGTATCTCAGGTCAGTAACTTTTTCTCTTTTATATTTATTTTTCTGAATATCCCTTTTAAGAGTTTTAGGTTTATGTATGTCTGGTTTTCATAATTAGCTAGTTTAATGCTCAGAACTTTCTTCAATTTTGCTCAGCAAAAATTAATTTTTGGAACATTTTCTGGATGGGTTTTGTATCATTGGGCTGTTTTCTGTTCTGGGTCAGTGGTCTTGTGTTATCATCGTTATTATATTTGTCTGGGAGGTATCTTTATGTGTTGTGGAATTGAAAGGTTAAATGTTATTGTAGTTTCAAGAGATTTCTTCTGAACAGGCACTCTTAGAGACAGACCCTTCAGATTTTGGCCTAGCTGCAAAAAATTAATTCAGCTTTGCAAGAATATATAAACAATGGGTTATTTCATTGGTACAATATATATGATTGTTTCAAAAGTTAAAAAGTTTATCCTTCTTTTTCTCTGATGTTGATGAAAATATGTGCTGAATTTTTGCATTCATTGCATTTATGAACAGGAGGGCACATCAACCCAGCTGTGACCTTTGGTTTGTTCCTAGCTAGAAAGCTATCTTTGACAAGGGCCCTATTCTACATAGTGATGCAGTGCCTGGGCGCCATATGTGGGGCTGGGGTGGTGAAGGGCTACATGGAGGGACCTTATCAGGCGCTTAATGGCGGGGCCAACTTTGTGAACCATGGATACACAAAAGGCTCTGCTCTTGGTGCCGAAATCATTGGCACCTTTGTTCTTGTCTACACCGTCTTCTCGGCTACCGATGCCAAGAGAAGCGCAAGAGACTCTCATGTCCCCGTATGTTTTTCTTTTTCTCTCGTTTTTGCTTCGACTTTATCTATCACCAGCTTAATTAGATTTTTGGAAAATTTTGTTAATTTCTCTCTTGATTAGAATTTTTATGTGTGTGAATGTGTGATTGAGCATTCTTGCTGAGTTTTGTATAATATCTTTAAGACATATGTGAAAATCCTCAAAGTTTTACTTCTGATCTGAGTTTGAAGATATTATTAATTCTCTTGTGTGGTGTTTTGAGTGTTTCGTTTTTGTTCACAGATTTTGGCTCCTCTTCCAATTGGGTTTGCTGTCTTCTTGGTTCATTTGGCCACCATACCTATCACCGGCACTGGCATCAACCCTGCCAGGAGCCTTGGAGCAGCCATTATTTACAATCGAGACCATGCCTGGGATGACCACGTAAGATTTGAATCTCTTCTCTCTATTGATCTGTTAAATAATTATTATTGTGCGAAGCCTTTTAGCTTCTCAAGCCTCACAATTATATAGCAGTAACTTTGAATTTTCATGCAACTGTTTATTTCTCAGTGGATCTTTTGGGTGGGACCTTTCATTGGAGCTGCTCTTGCCGCCGTGTACCACCAGATTATCATCCGAGCTATCCCATTCAAGAGCAGCCGGTCTTCCTAAGATGCCCGCTGTTTCTCATTTGATTATCCTTTTTTCTTTTTTTTTTTAATTTCCTTTGTGAAGTGTAATTCTCTTCTCTCCATGTGTGTGTATGTATGTGTTTAAGATGTCAATTTGTGTGTTTTACTATGAGACGATGTATCAATCCTTCTTGTTTGCTGTATCTGATGAATGAAGAAGTATTTCTGTATTTGTATTATTTTCTTCTTCTCTTCCATGTTTCGTTTCATTTCATTTTGGTGTAATTTGGGATGTTATTCTGTAAATAAATAAATAATCATATAATAAACTTTTTTGAAAGGACTTCTAGAAACACCCCCATTAAGGATATGTTTAAGGTTTGTAATGTAATTTATTATAAATGTTGGGAAGTTACAATAGTTGTTAAGTTTTTAAACCTACATTGCCTAATTAACTTTTTTAGAAAAAAAAATTAATAATATTTTATTTATTAATTTAATTTTGGTAATTCATAAATTAAAAAATCTATAACTTTTCACAAATAAAAAAAATATATAATTTTTAAGTAAATTAAACCAAAATTTGGCATTGGTAAGTAAAATTGAGATTTGCTCCCACTTATTTATAGTCTAATAAAGTTTTAAAATATATTGTATAATTGTTTTGCATTTCATTTATCATGAATTAATTAATACAATTGCTCTCTGCATTTTTTGTTAAGTTATGATTAAATAATCATTATCTGTGAAAAAAAAAAAATCAATTAAAACTCAAATTTGCAACAAAAAAAATCAAAACTTGTGAAAAAAATTGTGTATTATTTATACTTATGTTTTATAATTTATTAAAAGTCAAAATAACTTATTATTAGGAAAGCGGGTAATATCTTATTTATTATTTACTATTTTTTTTCTAAAAAAAATTATTCCTAATAAATATAATTTAAAATAAATTTTTTCACTTAATCTTTTAAGTTTTTAATCATAATATATATATTGTGTAAAGTCGCATTAAATTTGTGTGAAGAATTTTAATACAACTTATTTGACACGTTTAAAAGTATCTAAAATATTATATATTATATGAGCCATGTTATTTACATAGCCCATGGCTATTTGATATTGGTAAATTTCACTCCCAGTGACTGATCTTCAAACGAATGCGGGTATTTTCCTTGCCAAGATATTCATATAAGAAAACAAAATAAAAGGAAAGGAAGTTTATGTCATTTACAAAACCAGAGATCCATAGTTTTGTGAGTGAACCCGTTGATATTGTTAATCCTATATATTACTCCAAATCAAAATTCTTAATTATTAAAGTTTCCAAGTGACAGAATGGACTGTCAGTATAATAATTGTGAAAAGCCAATAATCACTCAAACCGGTCTACTTTGTTATTGTGTTTGATTTAGGTGCTCTTCTTGAGTTATGTAAACATTAAATTAATGATATTTTTTTTATACATTCAATTTATTATTATAAAGTATCGTATAATATTTAAAACTATTAATAAATATAGGTCCAATTGGTTCAAACCACTTGTCCGATCAATAAGCCATTGAACTTGTAGGTGATTTCGGTCAATAAACCATTTAATCTGTAGCTTATAGGTTTGATGATAAGTCTTAAACACTTGATATTTTCTATGCCAGGCCAAATCTTTTTCTCTTCCTTCTCATATACGTTGCAATATTAACTGGAAGTGTAGTTGTACCACAAAAATAGCTGAATGAGCAGGTAATTACATTACAACTTCAAATTCCAGTACAAAACATGCAACAGAGCAGCTCATTACAATTTTGAAAGAGTTGTTTTCATACTTCATAACCATTTTCAGCAAGTTATATTTCAATAGAGAACCTATCACCTGGGAATATGACTCGTCGAAACATTTCGCTATAAATATACAAATTATACAAAAATAACAGCATGCCAAAGGAAAATTCTACACTGTATAACTCATTATCAAGTCCAATCATTTCTATCTTTTTTCTCTTTTCCTTTTCTTTAGCCAAGCCAATAGAATATACATTTGTCTCACCAGTCACCAGTCACCAGTCAAGATCAAGGTACAGTTAGCAGCTGGAGTTTTTCTCCTCTGCAAAATGAAGGTAATCTCAGATTAGTATTTGCCGACTGAGGGGAGAAAAAATCACTAGATAAAGCAGAATTAGGTTTCCAAGCTAATTTTTCATATAGGTATCATATTACCTTAAAAAAAATAACTCCTCCTCTCTATCTTCTTCAGCCTCAGAAATTAAACAGAACACTGTTACTTCTTTCATTTACAATTGTACAATTTAGATACTAATCACGGGTTTTTACACGTCTCGTCCTCCAGCAGAAAATACGATACACATCAAAATTCGTACTTGCCATTGGGCATTGTAGGACTTGGTCTAAGTTCCACCACTGGTCGTTGTCTCACGAGATTACCAGACAGCTGTGGTGACACTTGATCGGCTAACATCATATGTGTGCCATTTAATTTCTCTTTCCATGCAATAGGCCTTTCAAACTCTTGTTCAAAAAATTCAACTCCACGCGAGAGTTTATCCACGGATGAATGAGCCTTCTGAAGAAACCCACGAAATATTTTAGGCTTGTTCGACTGGCTTGATGTGTTTAGATGGTGTGGTGGACTAGCGGTAGCCTTGGTGGCGACACCTGGCGGAGTCGAAGCACCAGATGGAGCAGGGGAAACTCGTCCCTTTTTAAACTGAGGTGGGGGTGAGTATGAAACAGAGTTTTGAGATGGAGAAAGAGGGCCGGAATAGTTATTCAATATAAAGCCATCACTGCAAAGGAAAAACCATGAGAGAGAATGAGTCTTGCAAGCACGGGCAGCAAGGTAAGGTATAAGAAAATCTTGGACTTGTAAGTTGTATAGAAAGTTGGAAACAAAATTAAAAAAAAAAAGGAGCCATGGAAAATGGCCTTTATATCTTTTTCTTTTTTGAGCATAATATAGTGCTATGACAAAAAATATTGAGGCAATAGTACAACAAATCCTAACATGCATTATTAACTTGAACACCAGCTAAATTCAACATGCAAGAATGCTACAGCACAAGAACATCAAATATGAAACTCAGGCGTGTTAATGCGCGCGTGTCTGTGTGTGTGTGTGTGTGAGAGAGAGAGAGAGAGAGAGACAGAGAGAGAGAGAGAGAGAGAGACCTAAATCGAGGAAAAACTTTCGGGCTTTCGGATGGAGTGACAGCCTCGGAAGAGTCTAAATAGGGAGAAATTCTAGAGCGTCCAGATCCCTGAAAAAAGTAGCAAGTTATTTTAACGCTTGGCCCCACTCATTCAATTGTTCATAAAGGAAACAAAATTTCTTGAAGATAACAGCCTTGAAGAAGGTAATAAGGAACCTTGTGGACCTTATCCTCTATTTAGGAACATTTTTTCCCTCTTTTAAGAATGTCGTGACAAGTAATAAACCGAGAATAGAAAAATTAGGAAGAGATAAATGATAAATGCACAAGGGTCAAGTTCAAACGAAAAACTAGCTCAGAAGGAGCAAGAGGGCAACCCACACCAATTACACACAATTTTTAACAAATACAACAACCATATGCTCAATAGAATATAAATAGCAAAATGTGTTTATATAAAGAAAATATTTCCTTGAGTAAGCAGTTAACCTTGAAAGAAATATCAATACCCATAAACAAAATTTTAATCTCGAACCGGATTCGCAAGGTACATGGACATTTGAATCAATATGTGTGACGTGTGTATGTGGCAGTAAGGAAAATGGGGAAAAAAAAGAGTGGAAACAGTATACATACCAGTGTTTTGACTGCTTGCATGAATGCAGGAATGGATTCTAAAGGCCCTGGAACGGATCTTTCCAATGGGCTACATTTTTTAACAAAGGGATGCTCCAGTAGCTGAGCGGCTGTCGGTCGACGGCTGGGATTTCTCTGCAAGCATTTCATTACGAAATCCTTGCCTTCATCTGATAGGTGGTCCGGAATATCCGGAAGTTCCTTGCTGTTTCCAACCTTGAATAGGGCAGCAACCTTCTCAAAGCACCAAAAGAAAATCACATGATATTCATATAACAAACAGATTATATAATAATGTGAGGACATCAAACTAAAAATAAATAAATAAATATGTGTGCATAAAGACATCAAACTAACCCCTTCATATTGACTCCAAGGTGGTTTTGCGGTGGCCATTTCTAAAACAGTGCACCCGAGGCTCCATATATCCACCGCGAGGTTACAACTACTCGAGTTTGTTATGACCTATATGCATATATGCATGCAATATCACTGTTTGTTAAATTTAGCCTAAATAAGCGGAAGTAGGAAATGAGATTTGAGGTTTGACCAACCTCAGGCGCCATCCAGTACGGACTTCCCTTGAACGACAATGGACAGGAAGCAGTTATCTACGAAATTGAGAAATTGGATTTAGATTAGATTATCACACAGGGTATCGAAAGCATGAATTCTTTATTGAACGTTGATGTTGTACTGTTTTCAGTTTTCTTTTACTGTTGAGTAAAAACTAAACCACCAACTTCTGGATGTCTACATTAGTTGCATGGATGAAAAAAATCTTTGTTTGGAAGCAATCAATACAGATGAGATGATTTATGTTTAAATATTATACTATATGTACAAAATATGATGTGGTCAATTTCGTGTTAACAGTAAAAGTAACAAATTAATTAAGAGGAGAAACTCACATGTTTTGCCATCCCAAAATCAGCCAATCTCACCCTCCCATTAGGGTCAACAAGAATATTTGCTCCTTTGATGTCCCTGATCGAATAATGTACATCCAATTATTATATGAATGTAATTTACAATATCATAAACTTTCAGGTTCATGATGAATTTAAGAGTTGTAAACCACATTACACAAGAAAACAATCTATTGCTTTAAAAGTACCCACCTATGAATTGTATTTTTGGCATGCAAATAAGCCAGCCCAGATAAAATCTGTTGGGTGTAGCTTCTGATTGCTGCTTCACCCAACTGCCCGTAATCTTGCAGAATTTTGTGAACCGAACCACCAGATACATACTCAAGGTATATGTATAGTTTGTTATCTAGCTGCAGAGAAAATACAACCAACACAAAGGTAAATGGAACTTGGACCTCACTGCCGAACCCGAGAGCCAGTAATATCCTTCATTCAATTTTGTGCAACAAGGAATTGAAGCATACAAAAAGGGAAGAAAATACAACACTGCAAAAAACAGTTGCTGCTGACAAGAAACTTTTCTTGCAAAATGCTCTACATTATCGCCCAAGAACCGAACGCATGAAAAATAAAGGATCATGCTACACAAACATAATGGTTGACATAAACTTTGACATAATACATACGTGGTACAATCTTGTGATTTTACACATCACATAACCCTTAAAATCAACAACTACAAATACATACACATCATTATGTCAACCACTGTGTCAAAATCATTATGTCAACATAGCATTAAAATCCATGAATGGAGTCGAATCATTATGTTACACTGCAGGAACATAGCAATAATAGAATATAGGACCTTCATATGGAGAAGAAAATAAAAGCAACCATGCAAGATGTATCGTTCCAACCAAAAAATATTTCCATCAATATATAAAACTAAAAACTGCAACATGAATGCACAAGACATACCATCTCTGACCCATAATATTGCACAATATTTGGATGACGTAGACGACTTAAGAGTAAAATTTCCTGCAAGAACGTTTTGAAGTTACAGAGAGATGAGTTGGTTTAGCGTAGGAAACAGGACATCTAAAACAAGAACTCCAGCAACAACCTTTGGACTATCTCTCTTTTATGATGTTTTAAGAAAACAGGATTTAAGACTGTAAAATAGGACTCCAGCCAAAACCAATGCCTCTGAACAGAGTAATATGACTTGATAAAAACTCACATGTCCAAGTTGCTGTGCACTTTCCTTCGACTTAGCATCGTCAGAGAACAATGTAACCTCCTTCATGGCACACATCTCACCACTTTCGCTGCAGAACACGTACAACGAGAAAGCACAGTCAGAAGGAGGTAAAACCAGCACACACAAATTAAAAAGTTGGTTTAAAATTATTTCACAAGTCTACCAGTCACATCAAAATGCAATCAATCAAGGAAGATGCAGTTAGATGCTAAAAATATAGAAGGTAAAGCTACAACATCATAATTAGGATCAATTGTAATGGCTAATGCTATAACTATACTATAGGAGGAAACATAATGAATAAATATAAAAAAACACCTACTTACTGACTCACCTATTAAAACCCAAATAAACTTGTCCAAATGTTCCTCTTCCAAGTGGTCGTCCTTTTTTCCAGCGTGAAGCCAAGCTTGAAGAATTATCAGTCCTACCAGGACTCCGTGGAAGCTTGGGTGATGTCGCTGGTGAATAAGATGGAATAAAAGGAGAAGGATTACATATTTGCAGTGGAGGTAGAGGCAATGGGTGGCTCCGGTTCCTCCCATCATCGGGCCGGGCTGCAGAGGGCTCGGCTGCAGTTGCCCCCGCGTGAGGATGACGAGGCGAAACCCCACCACTATGTATCCTCGAGCCAGGACCAGGGCTCATCATTCGGGGGCTGGTCAACGGGGAATACTCTGGACTACACCTGCAATTCGGCGAAAGGAGCTGACAAGGGATATCCTCTGTAAAGGAATTGTTTCGTGAATTGTGTACAGAACGAGGGACCGGGGACTGTCCAAGTCCTTGTAGAGGTACTTCTGCATGCTGCATTGCCCGCTCACCAAAACATCTTGACGGGCTTCTAGAAGGACTTGAAACTGAGCTGTCTGAAGTATTTGACACAACACCCGGATGAGGCTCTGAACAAGCAACTTTACAGTTCACATGTCTCTGTTCAGGAGATATGGGACAAGCTCGATAATTCAACAAACTATAAGCTGGCTTCACCATCTCTCTTGAATTCCAATGAGTACCAGGGAGGGGAAGTGGCTGGGCCTTTTGACAAGAACAATGACTGCACAACACTTGTTTGGACGGCAATAAAGAAAGGGGATCTGCCCTGGTTTGAAATTCCTTTTGACAAGTAGAATCACTACGTTGTCTTCGAAAAATCCCAGGCCGAATGCATTTCCTGTGCACTGAGGGGATTATATTCTCCACATTCAATTTCTTTTTCACGTCTTTGGGCGACTTCCCCCACCACAAAGGCATGATGGGTATAAACAAGGAAGGATCACACCAATTGAGTTACTTGCACAAACAGCACAATGCAGCTACCAGACCTGCCATCAGAAACAGGCAATTTAAGGCCAAGGGAGGAAAACATATGGGAAGATGCTTTGCATGGTATTGTCGGAGAAGATGTGTGAACTAAATGCACCACGTACACGAAAAGATATGTAGTTAGGACAACCAATTAACTGAATATTACCAAAAACAGTAATTCCTGGTGCATTACACATGCTTAAGTAGCATGGATCTGTTATGAGATTAGGCATCTGAAAATGCCATTAGTTTGCTAGAAAAATGAGAAATTAGAAAATAAAATAAAACGAAATAAATGATCAGTTACAACTTTAGTCTACGTGCATGGTAATCTGATGGTCTCTAAAATACAGTTCCGGAAACTGTTTCAGATATGATATCGACCATAAAATGATCGTAAAAGCTTAAATTTCATTGGCACATTATGTGAAAGCATGCAATAGGTGGCATCTATGATTAGATCACAGGGATCAGAGCAAATGGCGAGACAGATATCAGCTTCCTCAGATTACTTAAATACAAAATGCAGAAAGGCTCACATGATTTTGCTTATCAAAATTTAAAATCAATTGGGGCACATAATTTTTTTTTTCCACAGTTTGAAGCATAAATGATGCAAATCTAGATTCACTCAATGAGTT